GTCACACCTGAATGCTCACATCCTTTTAATTATGTTTGAAATTATGAACATTGCTCAACATCATGAAAATTAAACCTTATTTTCAATAAGCAATCCTGAAAAATATTTGGGGGTGCTTAACTTTTTTCCAGGTGTATATTATTGTGTCTTAATTTTCAACTAAGTTAAAAAGAGAAATTTTATAATGTATTGAAACATTTTATGATCTATTTTTCTAAATCAAGTTTGATGCTCCTTACATATCTCTTTTTGCAGCTCCAACCTGTTTTTTTATATTATAAATGAAAACTAATATGTTTATTGGTAACTTGCTTTCATTTTATGAAGTTCGATATCCTCCTTTTTTTAATAGTTGTTCAATTTTCTCACCATCCTTTGATTTCATAGACTGTATTTCTGCTAGAGTTCTATCAGTAAGTGGCTGGACATTGCTAAACATAATATCTGCAAATAAGTAGACTTAGCTCAGTGTGAAACATCACATAAATCTTTAGTAAGAATAAATTAGGAACCAGATATCTGTCATGCAGGGTAGTTACACTGCATGAATATTTTGAAGTTTTAATTGACACAGTCATAACAGATTAATAACATAAATGCGAATATATAAGTGTTTTTGGTATTTTAAAAATGGTTTTATTTGGGCATTTAGACACTTTGAATGTTTATGTAATGTAAAGACTGCTTATCTTTAGCTATGGTTGATAGCAAGGTTTGTGTTTCATTCAAAGATTTACACTAAGGACATCCATTAGATATTTATTGAAGGAAGTTCTAGGCAAATGATTTTATCTCTTTGACTGTTATCTTTTAATATGTTTACAATTAGATACATTGTAACATTAAAGTAGATCATATTTATATTTTATGTTTATATTTTTAGGTTATGGTAGCAGCTCTTCAGTTTTTTTTAGGAAGAGATGAAGATGTGCAAGTAAACAGTGATGAAAGTGATACAGAGGTAGGAATATTAATCTTATTTTATTGATTAATCTTCACATTATGCAATACCATTTCATTTGAAACAAAAAATAAATTAAAAGAGGAAAATTTTGGAATTAATAAAGGGAATCATGCTTTCTTTTAGTTTAAATACATTCAGAAAATTTCTTTCACCTTTATAATCCATCTGTTTTTTTGTTTTGCCACATGGTTTGATTTTCTAACAGTGTACTAGAGTCGTTTTCAAATGTTGAATGGCCAGGTGGTTAGGGTGCTCTGCTCTTAATCTGCGGGTCACGGGTTCGAATCCCTATCGCACAAAACATGCTTGCCCTTTCAGCCGTGGGGGCATTATAATGTGATGGTCAATCCCACTATTCGTTGGTAAAAGAGTAGCCCAAGAGTTGGCGGTGGGTGGTGATGACTAGCTGCCTTCCCTCTAGTCTTACACTGCTAAATTAGGGACGGCTAGCGCAGATAGCCCTCGTGTAGTTTTGTGCAAAATTCAAAATAAACAAACAAATGTTGAAATGTTGGGTACTTTTATTTCAGTATACTCTATTATGCATAATATTCATATATAATGGTATCAATATAAATTTTACCACTATTTCATACTTTCCATCCTGCATTCTCCAATAGTTTGAAATAAAATCTTAAATTGAAACTTCGATCCAAATAAGTTCTGTGCTCTTGAAATAAGTTGTTGTAAATCTTCTGAATAATCATGTTCCTTGGGGGGACAGCTGTAAGTTATGGACTTACAATACTAAAATCTGGGGTTTGATTCCCCATGGTGGACATAGCAAGTGGACCAATGTGGCTTTGCTCTAAAGCAAACAAACTGAATAATCATATGTTTATACATGATGTGATTCACAGTTTGTCATATTTACAATACCATACAATTTTCTGATTGTTGATTACCTCTGTACTTATTTATCATTCATGTAAATCTAGAAAATGATTTTTTTTTTTCTGGCAACTTGTGTATTTAATAGGCATTTCTGCTTCAAAAAAATGTATTTAAAATCCAACTCTGTATTTAATTATGAAACTTACACAAATGCCATCTGTTGTTAGTTTTTATTTCACATCATTAGTTATCTATTGTTGCAGAAATACTTGTAAGATCAGCCTGTATATTGACAACAGGCTAATTGATTATAAGTCTGATATACATGTGCATGATTCAGTTAATGACTTGTAAATTAAAATTTCCAGTTATTTAATTTCATATTTATAGCACTTATTTTAATCTATGTGATTATTTTTTTGCTGTTCTCAGAGTAATTATTATTTATTGCAAAGTTTTATTGATATGAGATGATACAACTGTGTTCTGGTGAAAGGACATAGACCACTCTTTCAAAACCATGTCCTTTTTCCCAGGTATGCCAGAAAACTGCCTGTAATTGTTTTGATTTCGTCATGTATGTTGATTAGTTAACCTTATCTCTACGGGTCTTCCTATGGTCATGGGTCAAAGGCCGTGTCATTGTGTTTGTAAACTTGCATTAAAAATTTTATTGAACTACTATTTTATGAATGTACATCAATAAGTTTGGTATCAAATTGGAGATTATAATTTAAATTTTAGTATGACCCATTAGTTAATTTCATAATTTGAAAGTAAATATTAAAAAAAGAAATCCTAAATATTGATTTTTGAGTGTCACATGGTATGTTGAATGAAGCATTAGTTCAAATTAATGTCCAAGTACGAACTGTATAGTTTCTTACGAATTAGGAACTCAAATTACCAATATTGACAAGCTAGAATATCAATTAAAAATATTCTATATTTTCTATTCGTTGAGATATTGCTACATGTGCTGAACAAACACAGTGGCCCTGCCCACCTCTTTTCATTTCTGGAAAGACATGCTTATGTACATTTACTTCTGTCTATGACACGTGAATAACTGATTGAAAGCTCAATGTCCCCTGGTGGCGTTCTCAGTGTAATTGAAGTATTCAGTGCTAAACTTGTTTTTTTAAAGCTTGGATTCGAAAAGATAATGTGAAACTCTAGTGAGCTTGAAATTTCATATTGTTTAGACCCAAATACAGCTTAGTTAATAAGTTTGATAAATTATAGTGGATTTGTATGGTATTGATATAGTAATTTATGATTTTTTGGTATTTAACTGTATATATATATATATATATATATATATAAATAAATAAAACTAAAATTATTACTATTCTATATCCTACAT